TGGAGGGCAAGTCTGGTGCCAGCAGCCGCGGTAATTCCAGCTCCAATAGCGTATATTTAAGTTGTTGCAGTTAAAAAGCTCGTAGTTGGACTTTGAGATGGGTTTGCCGGTCCGCCTCATGGTGTGCATCGTTGAACTTGTCTCTATTGCTGGTGATGTGCTCCTGGTCTTAATTGGTCGGGTCATGCCTCCAATGCTGTTACTTTGAAGAAATTAGAGTGCTCAAAGCAAGCCTACGCTCTGTATACATTAGCATGGGATAACATTATAGGATTTCGATCCTATTACGTTGGCCTTTGGGATCGGAGTAATGATTAACAGGGACAGTTGGGGGCATTTGTATTTCATACTCAGAGGTGAAATTCTTGTATTTATGAAAGACGAACAACTGCAAAAGCATTTGCCAAGGATGTTTTCATTAATCAAGAACGAAAGTTGGGGGCTCGAAGACGATCAGATACCGTCCTAGTCTCAACCATAAACGATGCCGACTAGGGATCGGTGGATGTTGCTTTTAGGACTCTACCAGCACCTTATGAGAAATCAAAGTCGCAAGGCTGAAACTTAAAGGAATTGACGGAAGGGCACCACCAGGAGTGGAGCCTGCGGCTTAATTTGACTCAACACAAGGAAACTTACCTGGTCCAGACATAGTAAGGATTGACAGATTGAGAGCTCTTTCAAAGGTAACATGTAAATTATTATTACCCGTAATCAAATGAATACAAGAATGTCAAATGCTTAACCATAAGATGGTTACTTGCATTAGAACGTAAAAATACAACCTAAACACCTATACAAAGCAGAAAATTACAATTCAAAACGCCCCTACACAGACAAATGTAGTAGGCCATACATATAGCATCCACTAAGAACCAAAAAGGAAACTCAAAAACAACATAACAAAGAAGATTACAAACAGAACAACAACAAGCTTCAAGTCCATATTGCAAGGCGTTCCACATTCCAGTTGAGTCAAGCAAGGGATAGCAGATAGCATCTGTAGCATCATGTATATCCAATCTCAGCCAAGGTTCAGAAGATCAAGACCCCCCTTTCACACACAAAAGGGACAGGTATGAACCCAACTAGTAGACAGTCTACACAAGCACGGCTACCTGCCTCCCAAGATTAATAGCTAGCAGTAGAACATCCATTGCAACCAAGTATGTCCATCTCCCTTCAAAGAGTGCATCATCTCTTCTACAACACAGGGAGGTGAGGTGGTCATGATGTGTCCAACTCCCTTCGAAGAGTATGTCAACTCTCCTACAACACAGGGAGCAAGGGCAAGCAAAACGCAATGCCAAAAATCACAGCCAACTCAAAATCCAAGTTCAGCACAGCCAGGTTAAGCACATAACATAGTATACAAAGTGAGACCAGTCATTGCCAGTGGTAGACCAAGCAGGGGTATAGCCATAGAGAATAAACAGCCATCTGATCATCCAAACTCCCATTTGTCAGTGATATGGGCAGCAAACAATCATACTAAGCATACTTAAAGATGGAGGGTTCAGAAACACATGAGCCTCCAATCACAAGATCCACAGTAACCCAAACATAGTTCAGAACCAGTTATCCAAGTAGTATCGCAGCAAGGAGGACTAGCCTTCATACATATACAAGTCAAAGAAAGAGATGTAATATGCATTGTGGGCTAAGTCCTAGAGCAAGAGAAAGGTGAGGGAGAAGTGAAGAAACAGAAGGGGGTGAGAAGAGAGAAAGAATGAAGAAGGGGTAAGAGGGGGACAACAAGAAGGAGGAGGCAGGGTGCAAACACCCCCAACCGGACCAGACTTAAGTCAATGTATCCAGAAGGGGTACAGTGACTTAAGTCTGTTTCAGCCACCCACTAGGGGTTACCCACCCAAAAACCCAGGCCAGACACAACCATCTACATAGACCCACTCAAAGGAAGGAGCAGGCTTATGTAATGGATTGTGTCCAGCAGAAGGGAAGCAAAGAGAGATGAGAGAGAAAAGAGGGGAAGAAAAGAAGG